AAAAAAAAAAAAAAAAAAAAAAAAAAAAAAAAAAAAAAAAAAAAAAAAAAAAAAAAAAAAAAAAAAAAAAAAAAAAAAAAAAAAAAAAAAAAAAAAAAAAAAAAAAAAAAAAAAAAAAAAAAAAAAAAAAAAAAAAAAAAAAAAAAAAAAAAAAAAAAAAAAAAAAAAAAAAAAAAAAAAAAAAAAAAAAAAAAAAAAAAAAAAAAAAAAAAAAAAAAAAAAAAAAAAAAAAAAAAAAAAAAAAAAAAAAAAAAAAAAAAAAAAAAAAAAAAAAAAAAAAAAAAAAAAAAAAAAAAAAAAAAAAAAAAAAAAAAAAAAAAAAAAAAAAAAAAAAAAAAAAAAAAAAAAAAAAAAAAAAAAAAAAAAAAAAAAAAAAAAAAAAAAAAAAAAAAAAAAAAAAAAAAAAAAAAAAAAAAAAAAAAAAAAAAAAAAAAAAAAAAAAAAAAAAAAAAAAAAAAAAAAAAAAAAAAAAAAAAAAAAAAAACCAAAAAAGAGAAGAAGAACTCCTGACCCGCATGAGTATAAACTGTGAACGGTAATCACCAAAAAGCTTTGCATGTGATTAAACTGCTAAAATTCTCCACCAATGTGAATATATGTGGTTAAACTGTTAATTCTCCACTAAGGTGTTATGTGGTTAAACCTAATACTCTACTTTGTCTAAAAGTAGTTAAAGAATAGTCACTCCTGGCCCGCATGAGTATAAACTGTGTACGGCACCCCCCCTAAACAAATTGATGTTACATTGAACTACGTTATGACTTGATCCTTTTAAAAGGTACGTAGGCAGCTTAGATATTTTCTAAGTTCAGTCATAAATTATGTTCGTCTTCTAAGTTAGTCAATTTTGATTGATTTGGCGAGGAAATGAAGTGCAACAAATGCTAATGTTCGAGATTGAGGTTGCATGATGTAAAAAGAAACGAATCATTCCATTCCATAACTTTGAGTCTTATTACATGAAGAAATAAGCAAAAGAGTCGCAAACATTACTAAATAAAAAGATTCAAGCTTCCTATTTTCTCTTTAGTCGCCTTCAAATTTGACTTCAACATCTTCAACTGTTCAACCACTTCTTCGTCCAACGATGGAGCACTGCTGATGGCGAGGATATTCTCTTGAGTTAATTTCACCTGGGCCTTGGCACTGTCGAGTGACTCCTGCTGCTGCTTCAATGTCTTGGATAGTGTTTCTGCCTTTGTCTTCAACTGCTCAAGCTCTTCCGTGACTCGCTTTAGCTCATCCTGAGTGGACTTCACTTGATTTGATTCAATATCCTCTTTCGCCTTATCTTCACAAAGACGATCTTTAGCCTCGGACAACTGTCGAGCAATATGTTTCTTCGTCGCCTTCTCCGAAGATTTAGACCGTACTCCGTCATAAGAGTCGGCATTGTCAAACAAAACCTTAAATGAGCTCTCAATAGTGGAAAGGTCACACTTGTCGCATTGCCTCATAGCATCAAAAACGAGTGACACCTCTTCTTTTATGGAAGACAAGAAATCGATAGGAGTCGCCATGACCTTGTCACGGAGGTCGTGCCACATGCCTTGAATATACTTCTTTTGACGGTCAAGAATGAACTTCTCCCCTTTAAACTCTGAAGCGGCTGGAGTATGAAGATTTTGTTGAGCAGTAGGTTTCTTCGCACACGTTGGAACATTTGCTACAGAAGTCGCTTCATCGTCTTGAGACTCTTTGTCATCGTCAGAACCAAAGACGTCCCGTTGAGCCTGAAAAACATCAATTAGAAATAGAACTCGAGGTAGAAGTAAAGAAGAAGAGATAGACTTGGGAAAACCTTAGCAATGAGATCCTCTGTCTCATGTTGATTTTCGACTGTTTTCTCCACGTGCTGCGAAGAATCAGTCGTTCGCTTTGCTCTCTTCCAATGTCGATCGGGATTGCTACTTTCTACTAAAGAGGTGGACCCACTCTTTCTCTTATTGGTCCCAGGAATTCTGGCGAGAAGCGCATCATCATCTTCACTTGTAGCATCACCCTGGTCAACAACTAGCTCCTTGTCTTTCGAAGATATCACTTTGGGCTTTGACGCAAGTAAATCCTCTATATGACGCTCAAGATAGCCTCCATGAACTTGATGCCACCATGACTTATAAGCTGGAGTTGATTTCTTCGCATTTGTTGAGGCACAAGGCAACGAAGCTTTGGATGAGGATCCGCATAGAACGCTCAGTTGCCAATAGTGAATTCCGTCGTCAAGAGAGCCCTCACGGAAGTCTTTCTTTAAAATGCCGGGAACATCTTGATAATACCCAAATTGACGACTGAATCGATGAGGACTATATGGCTCTATAAGAAAACGATTGCCTTGACGCAACGTTAGGTAGTTAGACCGAATCGCCATGAAGTATCTCCATTCGTATCCAGGTCTTCGTTGATCATCGACGTATCGGGAAGTCTGGTCATTGATGATGATATTGCAAGTCCATAAAGCGGAGTCCCCCTTGTGGATACGTCTGCGGGCTTCCTCAGGCTCAAAGTGTCTTGCGCCGTTCTCACCGGAATATGTCACCATCATGGGCTTGCGCGTTTGACCAATTGCGAAGTGAGTTTTAAAATAGAGTGCCAGCCAGCCGTAAACAAAGTGGACGGGAAAAATCGATCGAGATGGACTAATGCAGCTTGTAAACTCATTCAGCCCCTTGTAGATGCTCGTCAACACCGGAATTGCGAGACCGACCGTCTGACCCTTGACCATCATGCTTGCCATCTTGAAGGTGCCCGGACGAATTATGTCAACATCGCCGTTGGGAAGGACGAATGTGCATATCCAACAGGAGAGGTAGGCCGCCAAATGAATTTCTTCTTGCAGCTTTGGCTCGGTCACGACCATCTTCTTGAACAATAGATCTTCGGCGGAGGTCCAGCGTCGATGTTCTTCGAAGGTGCCGGGCGGATTATAAGTTGACTTGAGGCGAATTATCCTCTTCTTCTCTCTGTTCCTCTTGTCAGCGCGATTGGGGGGTTGTCTGTATTTGACGGCCTTCTTTGACCAAAATTGCACCCATCGATCGATTGACACTTGTCTGTCGCCGGTTTCTTTGCACAATAAATGATAGGCGTGGAAAAGGTATTTGCAACAGCGAGGGAGACATAAATTCTTGTCTTTGTTGATCCCGACCAACTCGTCTGCATCCGGCACCACCTCGTCGAAAATAAACCCACTCGATGGAAGTCCCGCCAATGTATGTAGGTCCCATAGCGAAATTGAAAGCTCCCCGGAAGACGTTAAAAGTGTGTTGGTAGAAGGACACCACGCCTCGCAGAATGCCTTGATGATCTCGGGATTGCAGTCGTAGGTGAAAAGCGATGCGTAAACAGCATCATAAATCTCTGCTTTGATCAGGTTGCTTCTGCATCGGCTAAGTATGTCTTCAGTCCACTCCCAGTATCCTCGCGTGTAATGGAATTCGCCGGCAAAGTTGATGGTTTCTCCCCATGCAGCTTCACCTCGTGTGATGCGTCGTCCTAAAGTTGGCAATGGTGACGGCTCTGTCTCGTTCTGCTGGTTGTGGTGAGTCGCTTGTAAGATCCATGCTTTGGACTTCCCGTAGGCACACTCTTAAGTCCACTCGCTCATGGAGTTTGTAACTTTTGGCCACGTCTTGGAAAAATCACCAATGATTGGGTCTTCAACTGTAAAACGGGTCCCTTTCTCTAGCGATTGATGTTTGGTGTCGAGGACTACTAGATATCTCTTTTCCCAGATGGAAGTACTTGTAAAGTAGACCATCTTGTTTGCTGCAATCACAAGAGTTAAAATAAAATTTGAGATTAGAATGGAAAAGAGAGCTAAGTAGTTTAGATTGAATAAGTTCGGTAAATTGACTTACAAGTAATTTCCTCAAAGAAATTTGCTCGAAACTTGGAAACTTGATGTCGACAAAACGGGCTACGCACTAAT